GAGACTTAGATGAGATATAAGGAAGAAATTCTTTGCTGTGAGGTCCCAAACCTCTCCTACAGCTGGAAGCTCATTTTTAGGAAGGTCCTTGGGATAGATAAGTGCATCTTCTCACCTCTGGTGGACACAGTGACATGAAAATGGGAGGAGGAGGATTTTAGCCACTTCCACCTGAAACAGCACACGAGGGGGATATTTTCCACTTGTTTACTTGCAGCCAGGAGTGTACAGCCTGCTCCTCATCACCTTGGTGGCATCAAGTAGCAGCAGCCACCTGCTCTTGTGTCCTGTTGTCACCTTCAGAGGACAGTGCTTTTTCAGGGTATGTTGCTGAGTGTTGCAGCACGTTCTGCAGCAGCATTTTTGGCAGACCAGATCAGAAACCAGCTCAGTCTGTGACTCAGGAGAAGTACCATGGGACCCTCTGGATTGTGAACTCTTAAGAACAAAGGAGAAAATCTCATTTCGTTTCTCCTTTAGAATCAATTTCAACCATTCCCACAACCAGGGTGAGGTTCTTTTCCAGCTGGTTTAGGTCACTGGGTTAGTGCAAAGCAAAGAAAAAGTCCTTTCCTGTCTGCAGAAGCACTGAGCTGTGCTGCTGGCTCTGGGGGACCTGGGATTCTCAAGGCCATTTTGTTCTCTTTTCCTGATTCTTATCCCACACACTCTGTTCCCTGCTCTTCTGAACTGCAGGACTTGCAACTGCTCCCACTGCAATTCATTAGAAGTGTCCTGGTGGGTCAGGAAAATGTTTGTTCCTTGTACTCAAAACATGAGTTCCTGGCTCTCAGTTCCTAACTGGGCACAGAGGCACCTGTAGCACAACCACTCGTGAGGGGGAATTGTGGAAAGTGCAGTTTCCTGACCCTTTGAAATAGGATAAACTGGATATTTTGGGTAATTTCCTATAGAGCTGTTGCTTTTTACAGGGGCGTGTTGTGAAAGGACAAGAGGGAATGCATTAAAACTGGAAGAGGAGAGATTTAGATTGGACATTAGGAAGAAATTCTGTGCTGTGAGGGTGGGGAGAGCCTGGCCCAGGTTGCCCAGAGAAGCTGTGGCTGCCCCATCCCTGGCAGTGTTGAAGGGCAGGTTGGATGGGGCTTGGAGCAGCCTGGGCTGCTGGGAGGTGTCCCTACCCATGCAGGGGTGGGACTGGATGAGCTTTAAGGTCCCTTCCAACCCAAACCAGTCTCTGATTTGGTGATTCTCTACTTTAAACCTGCTACTGTTTTAAGTGGCAGTTGGTTCCTGTGAGCTCTTCACATACAGGTGGTTGCAGACAATCTGGTTTTAAGTGGTCACCACCTGGGTCTCCACCAGCAGTGCTGTCACAGGACTAACACTCCATGTGCTCACTCCTGGAGCCTGTAAAGTGCAGGGAACCAAACACAAGGAATCCCCAAACCTTTTTATTCCTTAAAAAAAAAGCCATTTCCCTCCCCATATGGTGCAAATCAGAGCAGGGAGCTCATCACCTCAGGAGACCTTTCCCCTGTGTCTGTGCCCAGCGAGGCTGAGCCCAGCTGGGATGGAGAAGCAGCCCAGGGATGTAGGTGAAAGGGCAGGAGGACAGATCAGCTTTCAGAATCAAACCCCACTGGCCAAGGGACCTCCCTGCCCTGCAGCTCATGAGGGACGTGTCCTGAAACAGCCCCATGTGCTTCAGCCTCTGAGGGCAGCTGGAGTTGGGTCTCTCCTCTCTGGGTGAAATGAGTGTCTGTGTACACTGAGAGCAGCTGTAGCTGGGAGGGAGTGTGAGGGCTGGGGGATGTGTTCAAACCCAGATGATCATAGAGTAACAGAATGGTTTGGGTTGGAAGGGACCTTAAAGCTCATCCAGTTCCAACCCCCCTGCATGGGCAGGGACACCTCCCAGCAGCCCAGGCTGCTCCAAGCCCCATCCAACCTGCCCTTCAACACTGCCAGGGATGG